GTTAATCTAGCCATTTCAACTGTAAAATGATTAGATCTAGCTGCCAGTCTAGTCCTGCACTTAAATTCATAAAGTCTAGGTACCAAAGAGGAAATCTCATCAAAACAATTACCATGAAAATGTTTATAAAAAAAAGGCACAGGGAAGCCACATTATGGCTGTGGGAAAGTGACTGAAGATGAGATGTCAGATCAGGATCAATAACGTCGCAGATTCTTTGGATTTTATCAAGAATCTCTAAATATATAGCAGAAGCACCAGACAAGATATGGCAGCAATGTTCAATACATCGACAAATGGTAGACTTATAAATGTGTAAGATAGATTCTGACAAGAAAAATTGTCTAGCACAACATAGTGAACCAACTTTCCTAGCAGCAGACCTAACAATCTATTCAATATAATCTTCATCTTTCATGTTAGAAGAAAATGTTAGCCTAAGAATGCACAAGGTGTCACTCCTCTGGAGGTTAGCATAAACAAGCACACAAATAAGTTGTCAGTAGCTCTACCCAGATGTCAGCAAAACGATTTATACTATGATACTTATAAAGAAAAGGCACCAAAGTTATGAATTAAATAACACATTAGACCAATCACTTAATTCAGAGTTATTGACTGAAAACATCAATTGATGATTTTCAATCTTATAATTTGGTGAACCTACCACATTATTACATGCTATTATCATTCATTGTCTATTAACAATCAATATCAAAATTCAACAAAGACTTTTATTCTCAACAAACTGAACTCTGTATAGAAACCTATTTCAATTATGTATGTAAAGTAAGATATATCCCTTGTGATAAATGATACTATCTGTTTTGTCATCATTTCCTATTGTTGAGATAGAGGGTGAGTCAGGTATTTAAGAACACATATTTTGCAGACCAAAATAAAGAATGGCTTAATGCCGTGTTACACAGCATGTATCAAGTATGAACATTTTTCTTTCATATGTATCATCACAGCTTCCAATGATAAGGGAATTAAAATGTCATGCCTTGTTCATGTGTTAACCAATGTGACCAAGAGAGAAATCCAGACTCTTGGAAATGACCAAGTAAACAGAAGGAACAACTGGTGACACTGCACAGCCCTTAGAGTGATGCCCACTAAGTTCATGCCTAAAACTGGAGGTTGTCAGCAATAAGGGCCATATCATACCACCTTCTCACAATGCTACCATTTTCATTGAGGTGCTAAACACAATTGTCAAGTCTTGGATGTTGCAGCAGGACTCTGTCCCCTCCCCCCTTGCATAACCCATGTGACTCAGGATTGACTGGACAAGAATTTTAATGATCATATCATCCACAACATGCAACCTCCCAGCTCGCCTAATTTGAATCTCCTAAACTGCTGCATCTGAGGCATCATCAAGAGGGATGCCAACCAGCAGTCACACAATACCAAGGACTCATTAAAAGCTGCTATCTTGCATATAAACCACCTGATTTAGACATGCGGTTAATTTTCAGGCTGTCTTCAAGGCTGATACTGGTTTTATTGAATAACCTTTTTTCTAAATTGAACTTTTGCGGAAATTTTTATTTATTTTTTTTTTTTTAAATATATCGATTTTATTTTTTTTCTATAGAATTTTTGTTTTTAAAAATTTGTTCTCAATTGTTTGGCACACTCTTTATAATAGCATTTTATTCTTAAAATATCATAGTTCATAAAATGTATACTTACCTATCATTTATCCTGGGTTTGGCAATAAGTTACAACTGACAGCAAGGCCTCTGATCAGGAGGTTTTGAGGAGCATATAGCTACCTTTTAATTACTGTTGTTCCCAGGTCCACCTTGACCTTAACACCTGTTAGGGTCCTAGCTATGGGTAAGTAGTTACTCCTCTTCCAAACTGGAGTCAAAACTAATGAAAGTATTAAAATAGTTTTATAGTAAAAATACCAGAAATTGATTTTTGCCAAAAAAAATTACCAGCAATACATTTTGAAAAAAAAAAAATATTACCAACAATACATTTGACTCTCAACAAAAACCCTCTTTACAAAAATACATCAATGAAACCTGATCTCCAAACTAATTTCTTACAAAGAATACATATTCTCTTCATACAGACCTATCCTAAAAATCTTGTTGGCATTAAATAACCCATTGCCATTTATATGCCATGAAACAAAATAAACCAAACCAAACCATACCTCTCATTACTATAAATTAGTATTATAATGCAAATATTTAAAGTAATGAAATTCATTGACTATGGTAGTTACTGGAAGACCATGTTTTATCCCTTTCAGTGAAAACCCGCAGTTCAAGTTCCCTAGTATTTCAAGATAAAATATGATATATTCAATATAAAGACAATATTCTTGAGATTTTAAAACTGCTTTCATACCAACTTCCTCTATATTGCCATGAATGTAATTCCACTCATTATTTGACATGTATGATGTTATAAAATAAGACATATCTTGGCTGATTTACAGGCAAATAAACTAACATACTCAAGAGCGAGAGCCGGATGTGAACGGGACAAGGCCCCGTCACAAAATGACCATTATCTTCATTTACGCATGTTCCCGACGCACGAGTTCTGGTCAAAAAATAAAATAATATTTTAAAGTTTCTATTTTTCAACCAATAAGAATGCTTCCCTCCTAATTATACTCGCGTCGTTTTTTTAGCCTGTTAAGCCATTAAAAAAACGCCATAAAAGGGGTCACACAGAGTACAACAGCAGTCAACAGGAGGCCAGTCGCTCAAGTCTTGAACAACAGATCGGTTGAACTCTCTACCTTCGGGTGGGGAGGAACCTGAAAGAAGCTACACCGAAGGGTGGATTCTCTTTCGGGGAGGTAAACTGACCCTGAACCTGTATAAACGGGTTCAATGGGCACATTTTTGGCCGAGCCCATGAGCTCAGAAAGCCCATGTTAAAAAGGCCTTGTGCCACATGACGCCCTCGTGGGGGGGAGTGACTGAATATAGTCAACAGGAGGCCAGGGAAGAGACCTGTCATGGTCAGGCTGAGTGGTCAGCAGCAGTAGCGCCACGCCAACCAGCGAGAACTACTATGAGAGATCAACCCAGATCTTCAGCCGGCCTATGAACTATACCACAAGGTAGCTGTCCCAAAACCACACGTTCCTATTGAAATAAATCACGTAAATCTATTTCTACTGTTGTCGTATTTCTTTCTTACAACCATACGCTTGTCTATAACAATGATTTCATTTTAATTTATTTAAATTTTGTTTCCACAATATTTTTTGTTGTTGTTATGGCTATGATGCTTATTTGCAAAAGAAACTATTAAAACCAAGTGAAATTGTGTGACAATCTATGACTAACTCTGAAAATGAAAAACAAGTAAAAAATATGAATAAACTACAATGTTACCAGAACATTAATGGTTTGTAGAAACACAAGCATAATAATGAGAATATTTTCATTTTATTAGTGTGCCCAGTGTTTTTACAGCTAGTTTTATTCTTGCAAAGCTTAAGATGTACCCATTATAAATGTGTATTTCACAACCATGTATCTTTTATTGTAGGTAGTAGTAGTAGTAGCTCTATACAATTGGTGAATTCCTCTAGCATAGATTGTATTCTTTATTCATACTGTAAAATAATTGGCTGACCTTCCATCAATAAAAAGTTCATTTTATACTAACCTAGGTCAAGACTTCCTTAAGAATTACTGATAGTATTCTCTCTTGTAGTTTTGTTACTTTTTAAGCTGACTAAATATATATTGAAGTGTTGACAAAACTGGTTCTGCTTTACTATTTGTAGATTGGCTAACAATAAGATTTAAGTCTTATCACAGTATTTCCTTGAGCTCTCTCAATAAGAATTAGCTGTAGCTGACCTCTTCATTGGCTAAGATTAATAAAGAGAATATGGGATTTCCAAGTAATTGCTCAAGCATATGAAATAAGGTATATTATTAGTATTAATCATTGGAACTGTGATTATTATTAATAATTGGAAATGTGATTTAGATTAGCATTGTAAATAGAGAAAAATACCAAATCAAGATAATAAGTATTTTCATAATTCTTATTGATCATAGGTAACTCTCTGATTACAGGTCAATTCTTTTCATTTATATGCTATATCCCTTCAAGACATGGACGATCATGTCCCTCCACAACTTCCTATCCTAAATAGTTCTAAATAATGTTTGTCTCCTTACCATCTCTTGCAGTCCATGTTCTACTTGCATCTTTGGTTGTTGTTTTTATTAATGACAATGACTGAACTATTAGCAGAAATTGAACTCTTATCCCCTGTGATCTGGAATTGATCAGATCTAGCATTTGTTTGTGTAATCAAGAATAAACTTTATTTTAAATAAAAAATAACTGGAAAATTAGAATCACATATCTGCTTTTGTTCATTTTATCATTCTTTCACTACTTTCATTTAACCACCACTCTCATCTGAGACAGATTCAGATATTTTGACATTTTAAAGGAGAACCAGATTTTTTTTTCTTATTTTTCAGTTTTACTCTTTATAAGATTTATTTTAAAATAACATGTCCATTAAAGATGTAGGTCATCATGGCTCTCCAGATTCTGTTTCTTTATCTGGAAATTGCTAAGACTTCTTGGGAAAGACAGTGAAATGGTTTCTCATTATTGTCTTCACAGCTTTGAATTCAGAGTAAACTGGCTGCCACTGAAAGCTAGAAAGCCAAGTTTTCCTTGCTATTATCTAGATATTGGATGAGATGATTTGACTTGTTTTCTATGGCTTATTAACCCTTTGCAGATTATTTAAAGTCAGAAAATATTTTTAGATTGTAAGAATTCTTTTTTTTTTAAAGATGATAATGGTTTAGTGATACAAGTTTTACTAATTAACCCATAGCTGGGGAGAGAAGAGATGGATTCATACCTTTCTCAAGGGTATTTGCACAGAAGTGAATATAATGAACCTAATAGGAATTGGAACTTGGTTCTCTGATTAACAATTCAGAGCCATTATCCATTAGACCATATGTACATTCAAGCTTACAGCACTTGGTATTCCTAAGCGGTTGCTCAACTAGGTACTGACCAGGCTCAACTTTGCTTAACTTCAGTGATCATATGGAAACCAGTGTTTCAATGTAATAGATCAATGCCTTTCTCAAGGGCATTTGGGCAAAAGTAAATGCAACAAACTAGGTTGTTAATCATAATTTATGCACCAATAACCACTATTCTACTTGCAAATTCCTTTATAAGTAAATATTAAATAAATTTAAAGCTACTAATATTGTTCAAATTTCTTAAATGAAGCCTTGTCAATTTCAGTTAGTAATTTTTTTTTTAGTAGTATTGTCTTTCCTTTTATTTCAGTTGTTTTTATTTGCAACTGTATTTGTTTGATAACTCCTACTTGTGTTATCAGAGTTTACATAAACATCTAGTTAAGAATAAATATTGTTCATCTCCACAAGTCTATTTATTTGATTGGCGGTTTTTGTTTTAACTTTTCAGTAATTGAGGATTTTGACTCAGTTATTTGTATACCTACAGATGCACAAGATCTCTCTTCTCCATATATTTGTCTAAAAATGCACAGGGTTACCACAAACAAATAGTGCAATGGGGAGGTGTGTGTTTTTAAAATCTCCAGTCTGAAGATAAAATTTATTGCTAAATTCATATTGCACCCAAAAATAGCAGGAAATAAATGTTTGATTCACTTATTTATGCTGTCAAGTTAAAATTATATAAACTGAGTTAACCAAGTCTGATATAAGGCTAATATTTCTGGGGCAAACAATGAGTATCAAATTCACTATGTTTCCCAAGAAAAGGGAATTAACTATTGTATGAGCACCAATGTTCAGATTTTAGATATAAATTCTTCTATTATAACAAAATCTCAACATTCTTGATATGAAAGTCCTATGATGTTACTATTTTATACTAATATTAATGAAGAGTAAGTGCTAGACTTTATCAAAATTTTGGAAAAGTACATTACCAATTGAAGTATGATTCCCATAATAGATTTTAAATTATAAACACCTGGAAATTGACATCATAAAGAATTATCCCTAATACTTAAAATTGATACATATTTGAATATCTTTTCAATGTGATTTGTTAAATTTGACAGGCCAGAAATTTTTGATAATAGCAATTCTCATATCTTCAGACAATTCTCTAAAAATCAGTGTTTAAATGGTAAAATGAGTTCCAAAAGAATCCAGCATCTTAATCAGTTTCACTAGATCTAAGGTACAATAATTTCTTCATGTAAATTTATATATATTAATTAAAATTAATAATTTTTGTTTTTGTTTCAGGCTCTATCGAGGAGGAACTTGGGGAAAAATTTACCTTGAATGACGCATTTGATATGAATTACAAACCAAATTTTTTTTCTGTTGACTGGATCGCAGGTAAGTGAAAATTTCTTCTTTCAACTCTTGCAGTGCCTTATCTTTATTTTTTCTACTGTGTACATTTTGTAACATGTGGTCTTGCAAGAGCAATTCATCTTTCCGATTGATTAATGAAGCACACTTTTTCAACAAAGACTACAATAGACACCTTTCATCTCACATCAAACATAGAATATTACCTTCTTAGGTCATATCCATGGTTTTTGGTATAAGCAAAAGCACTTTTTTTAAGTCATAACCATTGTCTCTTTCCTCAAATATGATTATAAAGGTACTATTTTTCATCTCCAGTGACAATCCTTTCTAGTAATAAATCAGTAACCTGTCTTGTCTTTGATGACAAGCACATGTTGACTCTTTGAAAAGTTATATCATGTGGAACCAATGAGTTATGTTTTGACACTTTACTGTGTTCATGGCGGTGGGTTATGATTGTTGTATTGAACTGTTATACTATTTCTCATGCTGTTAGCTTTAGATTTTCTTCAATTACTGTTATGATTCTCAATTAAACTAGGGTACAAGTCCGTGATCAAAACTTAGTAAACCATGACATTTAAGATTTTATTTCCATACAGTGCAAATATTCATTGCCACTTCTGAAGTTCATGAATCATTTTTATATGTCACATCAGTTCAATTTGACATTTGAATATTTCCATAAAAAAAGAGGAAAGATCAGTACAAAACAACAACTTTAAAGTTATCATGGAAGGACAGGACTTTCTCTCCAAACTAATCCATTTACAAAAAATGAATGGATTTAATTGTTAATGCACATTGTCACGTAGCAACGATTTCATTAACCATAAAGGCGTTAGGCTAAAGTAAAATCTTAAATAAAGAGAAAATTAGTTAGATATAAAAGAAAGATAAATAAATAGATAAAAACAGAAATTTAATCCAATGCTTCCGATTCGCGAGCGAATATATTCTATGATCAGCCATACCCCCCCCTCTTCTCTTCACAAATTCTTTCTCTCCCTATCCTCTCTTCCACCCGCCAGCCAAGGGCCCGTGAACTTAGAAGTGACCCGACGTGAGGATGACCTGGTTCTAAGATTTCGCGTTTGACCATGAGTAAACTCCAGACACCATCAGGGTCTCATGCTGCGATTCACGTGATCGGGACGTCACGGAGACATCGCGTTGAACTTTTGGCCATCACACAAACACTGCGTGATTTGCGCCCTATTCTCCCTCGTACCGGTCAAGGACGAAAGGGAACCCACGTGACTGTCTGTGGGGACAGCGAAAACCAAAGAAGGATTTTTCAGTTTCCCTCTGACCAGCGGCAGTTGAACATCGCTGGGCAAAAATCGTCAGACCGCCCACTGAGATGAGGAAGACCACGAAGTCTATCGACCAGTGATTGAACACTTGCGAAAAGAAGAAGAATCCAGGAACATTGTCGGCCGGCCAAGATACTGATTTATCATCAGAACTCTCGCTTCGGCGAATCAAAACTTTGTGAAGATACCAGCCCGACTGCAAGATAAGTTGGTTCTTTTGGCTCGATCTATTTTCATATATGTATGTATTCGCTCGCGCCTTCTATTCTTTACTGATGTCCTCCCCCTTTGTTAAATGAATGTTCTTTTTCTTTTCTTTCTTTGTTTCGCTATATATATATTTATAAATAAATGTTTAATTTTGAAATCCATCGTCTTGCGTCTGTTCTTCGTTGATTCCCTTGTGTCGCTTCCATTTCTGAGTGAAGACCGAGAAAAGAAACCACGTTTTCCTTTTTTTTTAGAACCCGTGGTTCATCTATATGCTACAACTTCGTAACATATAAAATAACAACATATATATGAAAGAAGTTCTAGTATTCTGTGAAAAACCCAAACTACTTAAGATGAAAGTGAATCTAGTATAGAGAAATGCTTCAAAACACGACTTAAATAAATTTTGTTATTGAATATTAATACAAAATGCATTTGTAGAAAACACTAAAAATCATATGTGCAAGGAATATCAAATTCACATTATATTTTTTTTTACATTTAGATTGAAATTTTGATATTGAAAAAAAAAAAAATATTTTCTGAATTGAACATTAATTCATTATAAAGTTGAAATCCATTTGCCATTTATGTAGTCTCCATGCTTACATACTTTTTTCCTAAGAGAAAATGCTTTTTCAATGTTTGTTTTTTGAAATAGCAGTAAGGAAAAATAATCCTAACCAAAATGAAACTATCTTGGTAGATTAAGATCTTAATCTATTAGACCAGTTAGCATCATCTATTGTCTCAAAGGCATTATTTCCACAATCTTTTTGTATTGAATATGCTGACTTTCCTGTTTGTGAGATGACTTTTCAGCTTTTTACCAGCCAACTGTAAGTCCTATTCAGACTGATTTAACTTTTATTGTCCTACCATAAACAAATGTGTGGAGGCCAGGATTTCACACATAAAAAAAATAAAAAGTTATTTAACCGCTAAGTTTGTCTTCAATTGTTTTATGCTTTTTGTTTTTTTAATATTTTGTGAGTTTTTTGAATTTTCTTTTTCCTATAATTTTTCACCCTCCTTGACTGTAAGTTGTTTTATTTTTTGTTTCTAGTGTAATTTTTTTTTTAATTTCACTAGTCATTTGATTTATCTTTCTTTTTCTTTAAAATTGTTAGATTTTAGTTTCTTTATTTCTTAACACCCACTGTAAGCTAAATTTCTTTTTTTTTTTTTCGTAGTATAATTTTTTGTATTTTGCTTAATCTTTTTGCTTAATCTTTTTCGTATGACTTCGTCTAACTTGTTCATCAATTTTATTTTTTTATTTGTGTCTTTCGTTAACCCCTGCTTAACTTTTGTTTGCATTTAATTATTGTTTTATTTTTTGGTTTAATCTTTTACATGTTACTTTGTCCATTTTGTTTTGTTAATTTTCATGTAACATTGGCCATTTTGTTTAATTTATTATTTTTTACACGTCTCTTTTTTAATTTTCTTTTTATAGTAATTTTTCATAATTTGTTTTATTTTGCATTTCTAATTTTAAAAAAACAAACTTTTTTTTACATTGTTTTATTTGTGTTGTTTGAGTAAATTTATTCTTTTTAGTTTACATGCCAAACATTTTTTTATATCTCTTTTGTTCTTATTTCTACATTGTTAAATTTATTTTTTCCAACTCATTCTAATAGGATTTTGTTTAATTTGTGTATATTTTAAGCTCTCAAGTTAACCTTTTTGTTAAACTAGTTTGTGTCAGTCTTTTTATTTTATTTTTTGTTTGTCTTCTTAAATTTGTTTTTTGTGTATCTGTTTAAGATTATTATTTTTTCTTTATTTCTGTTTAATTTTCCTCTTAAAATTCCCCCTTTTTGTTGAAAAAGAAAAAATATGTAATTTAAAAAAGTAACCAAAATTGCCAACAAACATGTTCAGGTAGAAAAAAACAAAGACCCCCCCCACACACACACACAAAAATGTACTAAGCTTCAGTCAACAATGATTACTGGAAATATAGACATTACAAAAAGTAATGATGACCGATTTGATACAAGAAAAGTATGGAGGCCAAGAATGCCCAAACTCAAGGCAAAGAAAAAGGTTTGCCAACTTAAATGAGAAACAACAACAATAACAGCAAAAATAACAATGTAGCAGGGGGGGTTGCCCTCATGCTGGAAATCCCTACCAAAGTGCATCATTAACATGATGGCATTCCTCGAGAGAGCCAAGAGCTACACACATCTTATCAAAGAAGAGGAGCTCTTGTTGGATCCCAAGGAGTTACAAAAGGTTGAAAAAAAGAATTGTCAATCGTTGTGATTGACAAGAATTCACACAAAATTTGTCCCTCCGTGAAAGACACTGTTATAAAGTTGTTGACGTCTCTGGGTGGGGGATTTAAGGCCCAAAGAATCATAAGAGGCAAGGGATACTTTATGTGGAATCTACTGTTGCCCTCGCCTGACAACTGTGCAAAAGCATCAAGTCGGAATCTGATTATGAAAGAACCCATATTAAGAATTGAATATGTGCACCAGTGAAGGACCAAAGTTTCAGTATTCAAGGTCCCTCCTCAGGTCTTAGGGGAGCACTTGGCTGCTTATGTAGTTAAATTTGGGCAGATACTCAGTGCTACCTTCAACTACTTAAACAGGGGATGAAGCTTCAAGATTATGTTAGATTGCAAAGCTTTCATCTTCATCCTCAACTGTCTTGATGTAAAAGGCCAGAAAATGCTGATCATTGTGACCACCCGTAAATCAACATGCTGGAAGTGTGGAGTGACTGGTCACTTCTTCTCTTCTTGCTCAAAGAAGAAGGCCACTGGAGTTCTGGCCCAAGCCACCAAAATCCACCTTTAGCCAAGGCTGTTATTTCCATCTTGCTTGTCATGAGCATGCCAGTGACCAGGACATGTGTGATCAAATTTTCAGTTGGGTCCATTATGTGGCCTTCATTCCCTGAAAAGCCTTTGCTCACCAGTTGTGCAGTTGCGTAGAAGGAAAAAAGGAAATGGCAGGTCATTGGCAAGACCAAAGGAAGCTCCAGACAGCAGGACCTATGTTCCTGGAAGCCCCCACAGATAAAGGCACTAACAGCCCCACTCCTCCTAACAGATCCAAGGGCGATGCTCCAGCTAGCTAAGCTGAAAAACTGAGAGAGCAAAAATCAAATATGATCTTAGCTTTGAAAAACTGGAGCAACTGAAAGAGACATTGACTCCCACCCCATCCAAAATGACCACCCCCAAGAAGGCTCTGAATCCAAATCTCCAGCAAAGAAAAAGCCTACGCCTACCAACACTCCTAACCTATCTGCTGCCCAAACACCTATTAGCACCCCCCAAAAAATTGATTAACAAAAATGACAGCACAGCCCATCAGCTGATTTCAACATCACCAAGTCAGAAAAAAATAAAATCTAAACCTCTTCATAATCCCAGGGAAGATGTGTGTCAAGTGTCACCATAACAAGGCACCAAAAGTCACTATTCAATCTGAAAAGATTAAAGACTTAAAATTTCTTTAAATCTAA